ACCTGCCCAAGGCCACACAAAGGAGGGCCATAGTGGGTTAGGTGTTGGGCTGCTAACTTTAAGGTTGGTAGTTCAAAACCACTAAGGAGAAAGATGAGACTTAGAAACCCCAAACGGACAGCTATACACTGTTCTATAGGGTCCCTGTGAGTCAGGAGTGTCCCAATGGCAGTGAGCTTCATTTTATTTGGAAGGCCACACAAAACACTAAGTGACAGAGCAAGCATGGGCCCTGTGGTGTAGTGACTAAGTGCTCGATGGTTTGAATCCACCAGCTGGTCCATGGGCGAAAGCTGTCGCAGTCTGCTTTCATAAAGATGATAGCCTTGCAAACCCCCTGGGGCTCTGTGCTGCAGGGTAGCTAAGGGGTTAGAAGGGACTCTATGGCAGTGGGATGGAGCTAGGATGAAACGAGTGAGGCTGCCCAACAATAAAATCCATGTTCCTGATGCTTCATCATTCCTCTCCAGGAGCAGCCCATCCGATCACATCAAACTCCTGTGAAAACTCTGCTTGGCTTTCCAATCTTTAAATAAAGTCAAACTCTCAAGTCTAACTAGGCTGTACAGGAGCTGGCCTCTGCCTCAATGTGACTTAGTTCTCACCCGCTTCCTTTACTCTTCACGCTGTAACTGTAGAGTACTTACTGTGGGGGGTGAAATTTCTTGATAGGGCTCGTCTACCCTGGTCTCTGTAACACCTGCCAAGTGATTGGGTGGGACTATGCAAATAGGGTGTGTATCACACTAACAGAGGGGACTGGTCAGTCTTCATACTGCTTCTCTGCCTGTGAGGATGAATCACCTTTGAAGCAGAGGCAGAGAAGAGAAAAACTCCGAGGGCCTTGGAAGATCTCTGTCACCGTGACCAGCTGCGTCTCAGACTGTGGCACGGAGACTCAGAGGAGCAGCTCTGTGCCTTCTCCTTTTCTGGTCTGGGTCTATGGAACTGTGGGACAATGACAGGTGGTCTGGCTTGCCCATGGGGGCAATGGCCAAAGGATCAAGTGGCAGAGGGACTAAGAACTGGAGAGCGAGCGCCTTGGCTGCTGGCTGAGAACACCAATGACCAGACTCTGAATGTCTGCTGATCTTGACTTATGATAACCTATTCATTTCCCAAATTAATCCCCCTTAACCGTGAGTATTGTCTGTGAGTTCTGTGTGGCCTCTGCCACAACTTACTGAACCCAGCATAGCTACAGAGTGGGGTAGGAAGAATGGTTGGTGTCTGAACAAAGAAGGATAGAATGTGGAGGTTTGTCTGACTCCTGACTCAAGACCACAGGGAGGCCAGAGGCCACATACGTCAACCACCATTGTTGTTCAAAGGCACTTACTACATGTCAGTAAGTTCAAAGGCACTTACTACATGCCAGCAACTGTCGTAGGTGCTGGAGAGAAAGATAACTAACAGACATCTCTGTCCTCAGGAAGTTTATATTCGAGTAGTCTTCTGGACATTGTTCAAATAGGAAAAACTCCTTTTCAACCAAGAGGTCTGTACGCTTGTTGTTCTTTCTCTCTGGACCATTCTTCCCCCTATAGAGTTGGCCAATGCCACATTGGACAGAGGCCTTCTCTGAGCAATCTATCTCAAACAGGCCCTTGGCCATCTTCTTATTCACTGTTCCTTTCTAAGCATTCTCCTAATCTCTCAGTTAGCAGCCAAGCATTTTACCCCTGTTCCACCAGGGGGCCTCTGATGTGAACTGGAACATATTAAAAGGCCAGAATCACAGTAGCTAAAATGGAAATGGAGAAAAGGAACAAATATACTTAAGGGAATCACACAACTTTATGATCTAAGTGGGAAAAAAGGGTTCTACAGCATGGCTTAAAAACATAAGCCTCCTAGAGAAATAGCCCCCACATCACTCAGGACACTTTTTTTTTTGGGGGGGGGCACTATTTTTCTACTCAACATTCTATACACTTCTTACCAAGAACAAGTGCAACTATGTTAGATCCGCAAGTGTTACAACTTTGTTTCCACTACCAGACTGACAGTAAGCCCTCAAAGGCAGGGCATGTATCAAAGCTGTCTTTTAATGTTTCTGACAGTGATCCAGCACCTGTTTCGTATATTAAATGTTGAGCAAATAACCTTGGAAGCTGGGATATATGAAAAGAACACAGCATCAGGATTAGAGGAAGGCTCGTTAACAACCTATGATATACAGGTGACAAACTTGCTGGCTGAAAGCAAAGAGGATTTAAAGCTCTTACTGAGGAAGATCAAAGACCTCAGCCTTCAGTATGGATTATACTTCAACCTAAACTTTAACTTCCTGCCATCTGATGGATTCTGAAAAATACTTACACCTAGACTAATAAGCAACATCATGAACTACGGAGAAAGAAACTGAAGCTGTCAAAGACTGCACTTGACTTGAATGTTGTAGCGTTATCTCGGTTTAATTTTCTTTGGAAGATATTACTGTGAAGTGCATCCTGGCTCCCAATCACAGCAAACCCAGTGCTAGTGATGGCAGCAGCAGGAGGCAAAGAAGTATCAATTTAGAAGTGAAGCAAAAGGTTATGAAATCAGTGAGTGTTATTGCTCATGATTTAGGCATGACTTATTTTAAAATCAAAATGATCCTCAAAAAAAAGAGAAAAGTTTTATAAGTTGTTAGAGGATCCGTTCCACTGAAAGCTACAGGGCTAATAAAATGCAAGCGATACATCCCTACATCAGATAGGGAGAAATTGCTATTAATATGCATTGAGTCCCAAACACAAAATCAAATCCCTTAGTACGTACACTGACAATAGGTGTTAAGGCACAAAGCTTGTTTGAGATGCTTAAAAACTCAGAACCAGACTACAAAAGGGTGTTTCCACAACGTCGAAATCACATACCATGTCACAGAGGGAACAGTGAAGGCTGGCACTATGGGTTAGGGTTTGGGTTGTTAACCTCAAGGTCAAACCTTGAGCTGCTCCGCAGGAGAAAGATGAGGCTTTATGCTTCTGAAGATTTAGTCTCAAAAACCCTCCATAGAATTGCTATGAGTTGGAATCGGATTGATGGCCGTGGGTTTTGTACTGGTTTATCATGGGCATCAAGTGATGCATGACTGTATGCCATAGACTGACTGACCACCAGACACACGGATAAATCTGTCTTGGAAAAAAGTATAGCCAGAATACTCCTTAAAAATGAGGATGGTAAGGCTTTTTCTGACTTCCTTTGGCATGTTATCTTAAAGAACCCATCTCTGGAGAAAGGTATCATGCTTGGGAAAGCAGAGCTCTAGAAAAATCGAGTGGATTCCGACTAACATCAACCCTCCAGGGTGGAGTAGCACTGCCTCTTTGAGTTTCTGAGAATTTCAATATTGACTGAATCAGACAGCTTCATCATTCTCTTGCAGAGCAACTGGTAGGTTCAAACTGCTGACATTGTGTACGACAGCTCATTTTTTAATCCGCTACACTACCAGGGCTCCAAGGGTCAGTGGAGAAGAGGAAGCTCTCAAAGACATGGAGTGACACAGTAAAGGCCACACTGGGGTCAAGCCCTGCCAATGAGGATGGCACAGGACTGCAGCATTTCATTCTGTGTCACACAGAGTGACCAGGAGCTGGAATCTTCGTAGCACCTAATGCCCACAACAAGGAAGTGCCTGACACTCAACACTGTGTATGAATGAACAAGTAGAGGAAAGTGGGGCTTGAAATCGGGATGGGCTGGAGCTCTAATGAAGCCATTCCGGGTCGATGCAATGGTATGGGCAAGTAGAAATGGTAAACACGGGAACGGAGCTACTGTCCTGAATGAAGAAGGAAGACGCTGGCCTCCTTGACCAGCTTTGGACAGGGCAGGCTTGTTCCCTACTCTGGATACTCTCCCTGTCCACACTGGCACCTAGCTTCCGACTTTCACTTCATTCAGGTCTCCACTCACATGCCACCTCATCAGAAGTGCTCCCCGAAAAACACATCCAAAATTCTACAGCACACATTCGTACTCTCACCTTCTAACCTGGCACTCCGACGTATTTCTTAACAGAAGAGGATTATGAAAGACAGCTTCTAATGATTGTATTCATCCCTAACTGCATTTTAAGAGCAGCGTCCTCCATGTAGCAAAAGAACGTTTGGAAACTGATTGTGGGGACAATTGTACATTCCACGTGACATGACTGACATATGGAATATGATATACATGCTAAATCCCAACTAATTAAAAAAAAAGATCGGCGTCCTTTAATTTTGTACCTAAATTCATTCGTCATCATCTACATCTGGGCTTATTAAAATCTTCTGAGATTTTTGGGTAATTTTTCTTTTTAAACGAATGTCACTTAAGAAAAAAAACAACCAAAAACCTACAAACCACTTCCAAATCCTTCAGCTTAAAATTCGTTTCCATAAAACCTGGATGCTAGAGAAAACACCCAATCCTTACAGGAACTCTTCCCAGAGAGAGGGAGGTCCTTTTATTTTAATGGGGATTCTAGGTATGAAACTATAATCCATATAGACAGCAACTGAGATCAACTACTTAGTGTTGAGGAATTTGAACACAGAACGCACGCAGTGAGGGCCCTACATTTTCAGGTTTTCACCAAGTTGAGTTCTCGGAAAGTCGCTGACCAGGGGCAGCCTGTTGTGCCCGAAACCGCCTAGGTGAGCCTCCGCCTGAAGTCTTCAGGCAGCTATGGGCCGGGGTGTAAATTTCCCAACCGTGTCTCTGACAAGGGGATGCGGAAACGTCTGGGAAGCGGTAAAATAAACTTTGAGGCCCAGACATGCCCGGAGAGCAAGGCAACGTCGATCACTATCGGCTTCATGCAGTACTTAAGAATCTCCCAGATCTGGACCTCAATGACTCACGGAAGCGACGGTCAAAGTAAGGGACGAGGAAGAGAAATGCATGTCAATATTAACCTCTCACTAGTTTCCACTCCCGACTCCCCTACTCGCCCCCCCCACCCGCGCAGGGTCCCAGCGTGTCCCGCTGCCTCACCCAGTGGGGCCGGGGAGCCTCACCTGGAGCCTTGTCCGCAGCCATCACCCCGCTTGTTGTTTAGGTTCTTGCCTGCAAGTGACGTGGCTCCGACTCCAGCCGCAGGGCTAGCTGCCGTGCCGGAGCTCAGAGGACGACCCCGTGCCCACTCTCGCTCTGGGACCCTGGGTTCCGGCCTGATGAGCGAGCTGACCGCGGGCGAGGAAGTGACGTCGCTAGTTCGCGTTCGCGTCGTCTAGCAACATCCACAGCATCTTTGCTCGGGCGCTGTCGCCGCCTACCGCCGCACACAGTTTCCGCCCCGCCCCGCCCAGGGAAACGCGACTTCCGGTCGGACCAGACACGCCTCTGGGGAGGCACGGAGTCTTAGCCCCGCCCCACGTCGGCGTCCCTCCGCGCCCCACGTCGGCGTCCCTCGGCGTCCCTCCGCGCCCCGCCTCCACGCGCGGCGTGGCTGCGCTGCGTTGAGTGTCGCCTTTAGTCGCGGAAAGCCCTGGCGCCGCTCTGCTTGTAAGTTCTCTTTGTTTCTCCTGATTAACATAGCAAAATGTTGGAGCTCTCGCTCTCATTTTCCATAAAAGCACAATAACTACACCTCACGCTTAGGTGCTAAGTCGTGAGTCTCCCACGTGATTTGCACCCTATCTCATTTTTGTGAAGGTTGCGCTGTGGCGAATCCTTGTTTCCAAAAACGAAAGAAACTGCTTTGACTTTCGATTCATCGTGACTCCATGTGACAAAGACTTACCCTATAAGGTTTTCTAGAATGTAATCTCTACGTGATCTACAGAGAAGCTGTGAAGGCGGCAATTTTTACTACTTATTACTGCACCTTCGTCACATCTAAGGAACCATCATTGACTGGTGTCTGACCATTAACTAAACTCCACGTGGTTTTCGGGCTTCACCAGTGTCCCCGCTATTCTCCCTTTTCTGCTCTAGGACCCCATAGGATACCGTATTGCATTTATTCTTCACCTCTTAGATTATTCGCGGCTGCGGTCGTTTCCATGGAGCCCGGTGGCGCTGTCGCTACTAGTCCGAACCGACTGGCAGTGGGCTTGGTTTGGGTGCATAGTGGTTTCCAGGGCCCTCACAGGGAGGTAGGGGAGTGGTGTAGACAACACCGGTGACACTATCCCAGGGGCTCCAAAATGACTGACCATAAAATGTTCATGTAATATTTCAGGAGAAATGTATAACTTTACAAAAATATCCCTATTTATAACTTTATAAAACTTTGTATAACTTTATAAAAATACCCCTATAACTTTATAAAAAAATTGTTGTTACATATAACAACAAAAAATATTTTTTGTAAACCCAGTGTACACGTACACATAGAGGTACAAGGCTAGAACTCTATGCTTTCTAAATCTTCTAATATACTCCCAGTTACAATGCCGCTTCTAATCTTCTAATCACATGATTCGGTCTAAACCAGGCACACATCCTTCATATTTGTTCCTGGGGTGGTGGTAAGGGTAGATTCATGGTTGTGGATTTTGTCGACTTTTTGGGTGTTTTCGATATATTGTTGTGGTAAGTAGCATTCTCATCCCATCCTGCTGTTAGGTGCCATCTGTTGTGCATAGTGAGCCTGTACACAACACTAGGAAATCCTGCCTGGACCTGCACCATCCTCTCAAATTGTTCCTATGTTTGAGCCCATTGTTGGAGCCACTGTGTCAATCCATCTCATTGAAGGCTTTCCTCTCTTTTGCTGCCCCTCTAGTTTACCAAGCATGATATCCTTCTTCAGGGACTGGTCTCTCCTGACAAGTCCAAAGTTATGGGAGAGGAAGTCTCACCATCCTTGCCCCTAAGGAGTGGTACTTCTTCCAAGACAGGTTGGTTTCTCCTATTAGCAGTTCATGATACTTTAGATATTCTTCTCCAGCACCACAATTCAAATGCACCAATTCATCTTCTGTCTTCTTTATTCAATGTCCAACTTTCACATGCATATGGTGCAATGGAAAATACCATGGCTTGGGTCAGGCGCAACTTAGTACTCAAGGGTTATTATTGTTAATTGCCATGGTGACCCCATGTACAACAGCATAAAATATTGACCAGCCCTTCACCATCTTTGTGTGTGGGTCTATTGTTAATGGCTGTTATGTCAATCCATGTCATTGAGCATGTCCATCACTTTCATTTTACCAATTATTTTGTCAGCTTGTTGAACTGTGGTGGCTTGCTTATTGCTGTGGTGCTGGAAGCTAAGCCCACTGACATTTCAAGTACCAGTAGGGTAACAAATGGTGGACAAGGTCTAGCAGAGCTTCCAGATGAAGGGAGACTAGAAAGAAAGGTCTGGCCATCTCCTTCTGAAAAATCAGTCACTGACACACCTATGTATATCAAAGATGCATGTTATCAAAATGATTTATTATTTATAATGTTAACCGTACTATGAGATAGTGTTTGCTAGGTTTCTCCACTATAAAGTCTCCCTCCCCTTCCACACAGGTGTCTAAGCAAGTCACTAAGTACAGCCCATACTCAGGGGTGTGTTTGTGTGTATTTAATCTCTATATCCCGAGCAGGGAGAGCAGCTGGTGGTTTTGAACTGCGGACCTTGAGAATTGCAGCCCAACTCGTAACCACTATGCCACAAGGGCTCCTGCACACGTTTATAGTAGAATTTATTTAAGTATACATATATAGTAGCATGGACAAATACAGTATTTTGGATATGTTGTCAGGAGACCAGTCCCTGGAGAAAGTCATCATGCTTTGCATAGATGAAGGGTCAGCAAAGAAGAGGAAGACCCTCGGCAAGATGGATTGACATGGTGGCTGCAACAATGGCTGCAAACATAGCAATAAGGGTGAGGATAGTGAAGGACTCGGTGGTGTTTCGTTCTGTTGCACTAAGGGTCATTATGCATCAGACCGACCCAGTGGCACCTAGCAACAACAGCAACAAGGAGTATGAACTCATGGGTATCTATGTTGTTTTAGATCACTAAGTGATGAGATGTTTGATAACCTCCCAATTCTTCATTCCCATCTGGCCCAACCAATCCACGCAGGTCTGTGAAATCTACCTCCTGAATAACATGGATCCTTCCATTCTCACTGCCAGTCCATTCACGAACCTCTTTCTATCTATCTATCTATCTATCTATCTATCTATCTATCTATCTATCTAGCTATCTAGCTATCATCTATCTAGCTATCATCTATCTATCTATCTATCTATCTATCTATCTATCTATCATCTATCTGTCATCTATATTGCTCATCTGATTATGTCTATACTTGCTTAAAACCATCCATTGCTTAGTTGCAAGTTCAAACTCCTTAAATACCTTTTATGGCCCTTGATAATCTATCTGGCCCTGACCATCAGCATCATCTTTCCACCAATCCTCACTTCAGCCATTTGCTTCTTTGCATCTGTGTATAGTTTACCTCACTGGACAATGTGCTTCTATCTAGGATGCTAAGGCATAAATCAAGTTGTTAATGTTTGCATAAGCAAGCATATGGAAACCACAAATGATATTGTAATTGATGCATTGCAGCACATACATCATTATCAAGAAGTAAAGCAAAGTCTAAAAGCAAACATCTCCTCTGCCTGTTTTGCCAGAACAGGGGGATCCAGACACTGAGTCCCCGCCCCGACTTGCTTTTTGTTTCCCTGACCAAAAGGAGCCCTTGTGATGCTGTTGGGTAAGAATTGGACTGCAAACCACAAGGTTAGGGGTTTAAATCCACTAGCTTCTCTTTGGGAGAAAGAGGAGGCTATCTCCTCCAGTAAAGATTTACAACCTAGGAAAGCCTGTGAGTCAGAATCAATTCTATGGCAGTGGTTTTTGTTTTGCTTTGTACTGTTGAAAGCAAGCTGCCAAGGCAGAATTATTTGGTTACTCAAATTGTATAGTGACTATTGGACACAAATCTAGGATATTTTCTGTGACCCTGAAATGAATCCAAAGAGACCCAGGCACTCATGGCAGGTGTAAGCATTTAAGAGAGTTCCAGAAATTCAGTTATTAAGACAAATACTATTTTAATGAAATATTAAAATTAATAATCCATATAAAAATACATGAAGAGTAACATTAACATTTTGAATAGAGGTAGAATCCATATTACTGAAATTTTCTTTTGTCTCAGGCTCCAATAGGACTTGACATAGCACTGTGACTGGCCCTGTCATTAGTAACATTTTCTGTAGTTTGCTCACCAGGGCATTGGTGTTCATGACCAATTAGATGAAATATCATTTATTGTCACCACTATTTTTGTGACCAAGAGGAGTGCCTCCCTTGCTTTCCCACACTAAGTGTGTTGGCCTTGTCAGAAAAGGTAAATGAATGCCACGAGAGGGTTAGGATCCCAGGGCCACCATCCAATTCCATGAAGTAGCTCTTCCTAGTATTTAATATATGAAACACTCATTTAGATGTACAAGTTAGGATAAGCTTTTATATATGTAATAAGGGTTTATACACAACTCTATGAAATACAAATGTGTGTATGTGTGTGTACTCACTGATACTGAGTGGATTCCAACTCATAGCGACCCTTTAGCAACCGTAGAGGACAAGGTAGAATTGCCCCTGTGGATTTTCAGGACTGTACCTCTTTCCAGGAGTAAAAAGCGTCATCTTTCTCCTGTGGAACAGCTGGTGGTTTCGAATTGCTAATCTTCCAATTAGCAGTCCAACATATAACTCACTATGCCATTAGGGCTTCTTATATATATGCAACTTTAAACTCACCTGAAGATTCTGACTCATAGTGACCCTATAGGACAGTGTGTTAGGCAGGGTTCTCTAGAAAAACAAAACCTGGACACATTATTTTATATATATTTAGATAGATATAACATAAGAAACAAACAGCTGATTAAACAATAGAGCAGTACAAATGGCTCAGTGCAACTCATTTCTGTGAGACAGCTAATACACTGGCAGTCCTTCAGGTCTTGAGAGCTGCCGGTACAAGTCAAGGAAGCGGACAGCTGAGTCCTCTGTAGGGCAATTCAGGCTATCCAGCCACAGGCAGCAAACAGCCAGGCTGGTCATCATCAGTCAGCCAGATGACAGGGTCTGACAGTCCCCAGCTCAAGTGATGTATACTCCAGTAGAGTGGCGAAGTAAGTCTTGAAGGAACCTCAAACTACAGGGACACAGTCCACGGGTTAGGTGTCCCACAGGTA